CAGCACAAAGACAATATCTGGCACACAGAAATTCCACAGTTTTGTCCCTATAACTGGTGACAAAGTAGCGGCAAAAAGGTATTCTAATTCAGAAGATGAACCAAAAATATTTAACTTGATTGGAAAAAGGAAAAAATAGCATGTATGAAAATAGATTTAAAACATTGAAAGTATATAAATAAATGATATATGAAAAATCTTGTCTTTTTTCTCTCACATATTATCAAATTTTGCATCAATACTAGACAACAGAATAAGGGAATGATATTTTTTTGACAAAGTCGACATGTCCAAATAGTTTTATTGAACTCTGAGAGGGTGCTGCCAATTCCAAATACGATTTGGCGAGAAATGCATCATGAGCTCTTTTCATATGAAATTCTCGATTAATCAAAGTGAACTTAAGTGCTGATTGGACAAAATTGAATCGCAAATTGAGCTTCATTGGATTCTGAGATGATTTTGAGCTTCACTGGTTTAGTTTTGTGTGAAAATGGCAAATCAAAAAAAAAATCAGTTCAGACATGAAAAAGTTTTCGTAAGAAAAACTTTTTTTCCTTAAAAGTGCCCATCTTGCGATGTATGGACGGTTGGTAGTAAACATAGTTACCTATCTTGAGGCAAAATTTCATCCAAATCAAATCCAAATCCAAATTTTTTTTTAAATCGACTTTAAATTTTAAAAATCGATTTTTTCAGTGTAGGTCTCAAATGAATTTTTTTTCCAGTATTTCTTTTTTTTTTTGATAACTTGGACAATTTTCTAAAAGTCATCGATACATCACATTTCTGTAGGAGTTGTCATTTTTCCATAATATTTTTTTGAAAAAAATCGGCAGAAAAAGTTTGGTCCTTCTCAAATGTTAGTCTAGACAAATTTTTGGAAAAACTAAGTATGCAAAGTGGCATATTTAGTCAAGGTCCACACATCCAGAAAATTTCATTGAAATCTGAGAGGGTGCTGCCAGCTCTGAATACGATTTGGCGCGAAATGCGTCTATAGCGAAGGTTAATAAGGCCAAAAAGCAAGAGGAAAAAGGCCTAACATATGATTTCAAATCAAAGGTTACAGAACACATCTTCACCGGGGACCACCAACTATCGACGGAGGACATCACGATTTTACGAACACCATGGAAATTGAATTTTGCATGGAGCCTCGAGATCAACAACGGAAGTCAACTTTACTCAACAGGGATCAAGGAAACGGACACACATGGCTTTTCAAGTTACTACCTAGGACACATCAACGAGTAAGCAGCGGAGTACCTGCTCCTACAGGAAATTAAATTAAAATTTACCTAGCTTCTAAGTGAAAATGTACCTGGGTTTATATATACGGTAAAATGCGATGTTTTTCTTCATTCGAGTATTAGTACAAGACACTGTAGAAGTCTGCACATTGTAGACGAAATACGCGTATCTGGATAAACAAATAAGGTAGTGGAATTAAATTGAAATTACTAGGCCTTCTCTCTCTCTTTCTTTAAACAGGTATTTCACTAAGACGTCCACATTCATTAGGATTCATTTTCAATTTTCATACTGCCGCACTCTAGCGGAACTATCTACCTACCCTCTTCAGACCATTCTCTAGCTATCAAATTATCACACTAAAGCTTCATGTTAGATAGCATTTCCAACCAACTCTGAAAATCGTAAACTTCACGTATGAAGTAACATAAAACACTTTGAATATACCAAAGTATACTTTGATAGCAGAATAATATACTGATAGTAAAATTAGATTGTCAGTTCCTGGAGCTCAATATTGTTCCGAATTATTGGAGGCAAGTGACAGTTATAGCCATTAAAAAGCCTGGAAAACCCGCGTCAGATCATAACTCGTATCGTCCCATCGCGATGTTATCGTGCATTCGAAATTGTTGGAGAAAATGATCCTTTTTCGCTTGGACAAATGGGTTGATACGAACCACCTACTTTCAGATACTCAATTTGGTTTCCGTAGGGGCAAGGGAACGAACGACTGTCTCGCGTTGCTTTCCACAGAAAGTCAGTTGGCTTTTGCTAAAAAAGAGCAAATGGCTTCTGTCTTCTTGGATATTAAGGGGGCTTTTGATTCAGTATCGGTTGAAGTCCTTTCGGACAAACTCCACGCTTGTGGCCTTTCTCCATTAATTAATAACTTTTTGTACAATTTGCTGTCAGAGAAACATATGAGCTTTTCTCATGGAAACTCTACAGCTTCTCGATTTAGTTACATGGCTCTCCCCCAGGGCTCCTGTTTAAGCCCTCTTTTGTATAATTTCTACGTCAGAGAAATTGACAATTGTCTAAGTGACTACTGCACGTTGAGACAACTTGCAGATGACGGCGTAGTGTCTATGACAGGGCCCAAAGGGGTCGACCTGCAAGGACCCTTACAGGATACCTTAGACAATTTGTCTACTTGGGTTTTCGAGCTAGGTATCGAATTCTCCTCGGAGAAAACTGAGTTGGTCGTTTTTTCTAGGAAGCATAGCCCAGCACAACCGAAGCTTCAAGTTTTGGGTAAATCGATCACTCATTCCATGTCTTTCAAATATCTCGGGGTCTGGTTCGATTCAAAATGCACCTGGCGATCCCACATTGAGTATCTGAGACGAAAATGTCAACAAAGGATCAATTTTCTCCGAACAATTACCGGAACGTGGTGGGGAGCTCATCCACAGGATCTTCTAACGTTGTACCGGACAACGATTTTATCGGTTTTAGAATACGGTAGTTTTTGTTTCCAGTCGGCGGCTAAAACTCACATCATCAAACTGGAACGTATCCAGTATCGTGTCTTCGTATCGCGTTAGGATGCATGCACTCGACTCATACGATGAGTCTAGAAGTGTTGGCGGGCATGTTGCCACTCTTTGATCGGTTTTCGGAATTGTCCCTCAGGCTCCTCACCCGTTGTGAAGTTATGAACCCACTGGTAATCGAAAACTTTGAAAAGCTTCTTGAGCTGAACCCTCAAACTCGTTTTATGTCATTGTACTACGTGTACATAACACAGGATGTCAGCCCTTCACAGCATAATCCTCATCGTGTATGCTTCTCCGACTTCGGCAATTCAGTTAGTTTTGATGTATCTATGACGCGGGAGATTCGTGGGATCCCAGAACTTCATCGTTCCACGATTGTTCCGTCATTATACACTGCAAAGTTTGGCCAAGTTGATTCCGCAAGATCGTTCTTTACAGATGGATCATTAATAGAGGCGTCCGCTTGTTTTGGTATTTATAACGAATTTCATAGCGCCTCTCAAATGCTTCAAGCTCCCTGTTCCGTATATATTGACGAGCTGGCGCCAATATACTATACGCTAGAAACGATCGCCTCACTTCCACCAGATCACAGTTTTATTTTTACGGATAGTCTCAGTTCTGTCGAGGCTATTCGCTCTATTAGGCGGGTAACGCACTCCTCGTATTTCCTCATGAAAATACGAGAGCTTCTAAGTGCTTTATCTTTAAGATCTTTTGTCATCACCTTTGCATGGGTCCCATCTCATTGCTCGATTCCGGGCAATGAGAAGGCGGACTCGCTTGCAAAGGTGGGCGCTATGCAAGGCGATATTTACGATCGACAAATCGCCTACGATGAATTTTTCTTCATTTACCGTCAACAGTCACTCGTCAGCTGGCAGAATAAGTGGACGCAGAACACATCCTTTGGTCTTGTGCGGAGTATCGCGGAGTCAGATCCGAGTTGTATGATTCCCTTCGGGCTTGAGGTACAACCTAATGTTCCAGTTCGGGATATTTTGGGTAGACGCGATCTGGAGTTTATAAAACTTATATATGTTTTCTTAAAGAATATTAACCTTGGATCGTAAGTTTGACTAACCTTGTGTTTAGTTTTTTGTTTTGTTCGTGTGGTTTTTTTTAATAATTGTATAATTACACTGCGGATACCAAATTTAATAGTAATAAGATCATGTTTTAGGAATAATGAAATATTTGTATCGTAAATCATAACTCAAACTTCCTTCTCCCTCTCCCCATCCATAAAACTGTATATCTCTACTAACCTCGAGACGACCGCAAGTAATCGGTTCAATTCCTTTAACTCTAGCTTTAAGACATCTATCATGTATAACGCAAATGGTAGCTTGGCTCTGTAAAGTTTATTCGATTGAGCCTGTACAAATAAATTTATACAAAAAAAAAGAAAAAAAAAGTAAAATTAGATATTAGATTGCCCTGGTTTTGCTATTTCCCTCTACACCCTGAAGTTAGGCCCTAGGACCAAAACTGGAACACTAATGCCATAACTGGCAAACTTACTCTAGCAGAGTTACATTTTTTTAAACTTAGAAACATAACTTTGCTATCAAAGGTGAGTGCTCCAACGGACGCGTAAATGAACTATTACGAATCAAAAGCATAAAAGCAATAAAGATTGAAGGGCCGTATCTACAAATCGGCTTCTTTAATTACTTCGACCGTTCCAACAGAAGCCCAACAAGACCACCAAAAACAAACACAGCTAATCCAATAATTCACCCAAAAATCACACAAACATCGTCCGTCGACCCAATCAATCTCATTATTGTGCTTTTGTTTTGCCTCTGCCACCGCATTCCACTCTGATCTTATAATAATAGCCAACAGCGGCTCGGCTCGGCTCAACCTGACCCACAAAGCTTGACACAGTTCACATATCAATAGTTCAACGACGCCGGCCGTACAGTCAACGAATATGTAGATGCAAGGAAGGCGAGGCCAGCGCGGCTGCGCGTTAATCCAAGAAAAATCATCCATTATAAATATTCGTGTGCAATGTTGATTTTTATCAGTTTTGCTCAATCGTGTGCCGATCGGAAAAATTGATTACGAAACCACCATCAGCAGTAGCGGATAATTATCAGCAATTTACAGCCGCACACTCACTTTTATAGACGCGAGGAGGCTGGAGTATCATTCACACACTCCCACTCCCACGTTTCGTTAATTGGTTGCCATTTGTCTGACTTAAAATCTTCTTTTCTCTTTTCTTTTTTGCAGTGATAATAGCACTAATGGTCAGGGTGGATGGTTTAAAGGCGACCTCGTTGATTTTCGGTCGCGCACCAGCCACCTCCAGCACGTCATCTACGACCAGCACCACGACAGAGGCCACATCCACCACCACCACCACCGAGAAAGCATCAGCAGACGAGGAAGTGGTGAGTGACCCCCAGCAACTCGCTTTCAAATTATCACATCGTTTGGTTGTTGGTTGACGTCTAGAAGCCCAGAGCGCTATAAAAAAACCAAACAAAGTACCTAATACTTATCAGTTGGCACTATTTCAACACCAGCTAGCAGTCGATGACCGACCGATAACTGTGTCAGCAGTGCTATGTCGGAGAGCTATTATTTCCCTAATTGGTCATCGTCGTCGTCGTCGTTGTCGTCCCAGTCGTTGGGAAAGGTGGCCCATATTTTCCCTTTCAATTTTAACACACTTCTTTACCACATCGACCACCATTCGATTGTGTGTCATTGCAGTTGATTGGGCCATTCTCAATTCGTTCGTAGCATGACGGGTTCCAAGTACTTTTTGTTGCCGCCACATAACTCAGCTCAAGTAACAATAATTCATGCACCGTTTTTCCACCCTCCCGGTTTGCCAGCAACAAATCGACATTTCCAGCACAATTCAACTCACAACAATTCCTTTCTGTTGTCGACCCGGCTAATGTCGGTGCATGTAGGTGTAGAGGTTTAACAACAACCAACGACGACAACGACAACGACGACGTTGACGAGCGACGACGACGTCTCTAAGGCGGTGAATGCAGTTGAAAGTTATGTAAAACGCGAGACTTTCAAACGACTGCAGCGCTTTACACCTGCAATTACACGAGGCCATTTCTGTAGGGTACATGCATGCTTGCATGATTGATAGGTGTTTGAGTTGGGATTCTTGAAAGAAGCAAAAAAAAAAGTTCTCTTTTTTGCCTGGTTAACCTATTTTTGAATGGCACGGCAATTGCACCGCACCGCGGTTACGTACAGCAGTGACTTGGATGCTTGGTGGCGACTTTTTCTGCAAGCGGCGAACCCGATTGCAATACGAGGTGATTGATTAACACTGGAGCCATCGTATTTCGCTTGGCTGCCTAGATCACTTCAATTGATGGGATCCGCAGATTTTTTCTTCGGAAATACCAATAGCGATAAATTGTTGAGCATGAATCTATATTTTACTGACAAATCTCCTGTGAGCTCATCTTAGAAGGCAAAGATATTTTCGGTAGGCTAACCTAACCGATGCGTTTGTCAACTCAGTAACGGGGCCTAGGAACCCACAGGGGCCTCCCTTAGCTCAGTGAAAAAAGGCGCAGCTACAAAGCAAGACCATGCTGGAGGCGGCTGGGAGCGATTTCCGGTCCGGTCAAGGAATTTTTCGGGTTGGAAAACTTCTCGACGTTCCTGGCCATAGAGTATATTATTGTACTTGCCACATAATTATACTAATGCAAAAATCGTACAGACATCGAAAGCTCTCAATTAAAAACTGTGGAAGTGCATCTAGAACACTAAGTTGAGAGCACGCAATAAGCTAATATGCAATAATCAATAAGCTTGAAATACGAAGAAGAAGAACCAACAGAAGAGTATAGTCTTCTGTTCAATAGACAAAAATGGTCGTCAATAGGCCACCGAGCCCCGTACATCATCGCATTCATTTTACCGAGAATATTCGACCAGGTTCTATTAAGTTAAATAGCAATGTTGACAATCTCTTCTACAAAAAAACGATTACCGAAAATGAAGCGACATGGTAACTACGATAACTTTAACTAGAAGGAACCACTAGGCTGCCGAAGCTCTCAGATTACAACAAGTTATGACGATTTGAGCGGTTTAAGATGCCAACCAATGCATGAATTTGTTAATTGTGTGGCAAGCACAATAAAATTCTATGCCTAGGGAAGTCGAACAAATTTCTAACCCTCAACCGGACATCTGCGTCTTGGTATTATCGTGCCTTTACTGACTAGATTTTCTGAGGCCCTATGTTTTGAAGGTCTTCGTAATCATTACTAACCAACGTAATATGATGATACAGTATCTCATGGTCTAAAGGATCAGAGGATATCAAAAGGACTTCGTTTTCGTTCAATTGAGAGTCTGTAGAATGATTCTTGAGCATCCTGATGTAATTATAAAATATCAAAAGGGCTTCAGAATAATTCCACCATAAGATGAGAGAATATGCGGCATCATTTGTTCTTATTTAACCTTTGCGTACCTCACGTCTAAATTTGAATAGGTTTTCAAGACAAAAAGTTGCATTTTGTCGGGAATCTATTCAAATGCTGTAATCCGTCAGGGTTCCGGAGCTATTCTGGTTCCTGTTGGGGTCACTCTGGGTCGGCATTCGGCTTTACTGTTCTGTAATAATTATACACACGGTGAACATAATATTTTCCCACTCAAATGATGTAATTGGACCATTTACGGCTATACCGATGAACATTGGGCATCCCGGAAATGTTCCGGTGCCCGCGGGAAGGGGCCAATACTCAACAAGAACCAAACCTGTCGTACGACATGCCAAACTTCATGATTTTACAAAACATGGCCGGTAATGGCCTTATTTACAGTCCACGGTCACAGTAGCCCTCCCGAGCATGTTACGGTGACCCCAGAAATGTTCCGGTGCCCTCGGGGGAGTGACCAATTCTCTACAAGAACCAAAACCCGTCGTTCGACATATCAATATACATCATTTTACAAAACTTGGCTGATAATGGCCTTATTAACGGTCCACGGTCCCACTAGCTTCCCGGGTATGATCCGGTGTCCCCGGGGAAGTGACCAATTCTCGACAAGAACCAAAACCGTCGTATCCCGACATATCAATCTTCATGATTTTACAAAACTTGGCTTGCAATGGCTTTATTGAAAGTCCACGGTCATACTAGCCCTCTTGGCCATGTTCTGATGCCAACGGAAATGTTCCGGTGCCCCCGAGGAAGTGGCCAATTCTTGGCATGAAACAAAACCCGTCGTACGACGTATTAAACTTCATGATTTTACATTACTTGGCCGTTAATTACCTTATTGATAGTCCACGGTCGCACTAACCCGCCCGGGCATGTTCCTGTGCCCCCGGGGAAGTGGTCAATTCTCGACAAGAACCAAAATCCGGCGTGCGCCATAAAATTTAGCCATCAATGAGCATATTGACAGCCCACGGTCACACTAGCCCTCCCGGGCATGTTCTGGTGCCCCCGGGGAAATGACCAATTATCGACAAGAACCAAAACCTGTCGTGCGACATATCGAACCTCATGAGTTTAGAAAATCTGACCGGTAATGGCCTTATTGGCAGTTGACGGTCAGACTAGCCCTCCAGGCATGTTCTGATGCCAATGGAAATGTTCTGGTACCCCCAGAGAAGTGGCCAATTCTCCACAAGACCCAAAACCCGTCGTGCGACATATCAATCTTCATGAATTTACAAAATTTGGCCAGTAATGGCCTTATTGGTAGTCCACGGTCACACTAGCCCTCCCGAGCATGTTCCGGTGCCCCCGGGGAAGTGACCAATTCTCAACAAAATCCAAAACCCGTAGTGCGACATATCAAACTTCATGATTTTATAAACCTTGGCCGGTAATGATCTTATTGACAGTCTACGGTCACACCACCTCTCCAGGTCATGTTCCAGTACCCCCGGGGAAGTGGCCAATTCTCATCAAAATTCAAAACCCGTCGTGCGACATATCAAATTTCATGATTTTACAAAACATTGCTGGTAATGGTCACACTAGCCCTCCCGGGCATGTTCCGGTACCCCCGGGGAAGTGGGCAATCCTCAACAAAATCCAAAACCCATCGTGCGACATATCAAATTTCATGATTTTACAAAACTTGGCTGGTAATTCCCTTATTGACAGTCCACGGCATGTTCCAATGCTAACGGAAATTTTCTGGTGCCCCCGGGGAAGTGGCCAATTCTCGACAAGAACCAAAACCTGTCATGCGACATCTCAATCTTCATGATTTTAGAAAACTTGGCCGGTAATGGCTTTATTGACAGTCCACTGTCATATTAGCCATTCCAAGCATATGCTGATGCCAACGGTAAAGTTCCGGTGCCCCCGGGGAAGTGGCCAATTCTCGAAAAGAAGTAAAACTTGTCGTACGACGTATTAAACATCATAATTTTACTAAACTTGGCCGGTAATGGGCTTATTAACAGTCCACGGTCACACCACCTCTCCAGGTCATGTTCCGGTGCCCCCTCAGCAGAAGCTGAGTTGCACAAACTAATTATTGGCATATGAACTTAACCCAAGTAGTATTCCAAGCTTTTTCAAGGTTTTAAAGCATTATATAAGTCCAAATCATGAGCAACAAGGCTGTGATAAAACCAAAATTGATATTTGTGAAATTGGTTCTACCAAATTTAGAAACCAATCCTTAGGATAATTAATTCAATGATGACCATCAACTACTCAAGATAGATTAAAATTTATTATATAAATTCAGGGATGCTATAAACCATACTTAATTGGTTACTTATCATGAATTTTGAATACAAAACACTTTTATTAAAAAATTTGCCTGTATGAGGAGTCGTAAACTGTTTTAGTTTATTAAGAAACTTAAACGAAAAGTGATTATCGCAAGTTGGTACCTATTTTTGAGCTAAAATATGAAAATTCAAATCAAATAAGGCCCAGCAGTAAATAATAACCAGGGGCCCCAAGGGTGGTTAAAATGACCCTGGGCACGAAATTCACAGAATTAGCCACATACCACTGCTGTACGGTTTTGAAGTATTTCGTTAGCAGCTTCGTGTAGAGTTTCACGGGCTCGCGTTTTGGCACACTTGCTGGCGTTCGTCCCTATTTGAGAAGTTCTTCACTTTGTACGTTTTTAATCTGGATCGTTTCTTGGCCCTCTGGGCGAAACTTTGCGAAACATCAAGTTTTTTGGTCAGTCCCGCTTGAAATGAGCAATCAGCGCTCTCTCCGTTCCTGGAATCTTTGGAAGACCCTTGAGACAGTCAAACGATGTATATTCATCAGTTTTCCCTAGGCGCGATGCGACATCCCAGGATTTTCTATCTCGACCGGAATCTCACTGACAACTGCACAACTAAGTGGATGTTAACAATACACTCTAAAGAGAAACTAGGCAAAATTTGGATAATTTCAGTCAA